CCTTAAAAGGACTTCCCAAGCAAGGAGGAAGCTTCCGATTATACAACGCACAATGCTACTTGCCTGTGTTTCTCTTCCGTAAGTATCTTTATCTTTTTCGTTTTTCCTCCTTTTTCCTTTTTTTTTTTTTAATGGAGAATAATTCGTTTGCAGGAGGAGGACGAGTTGGACAACAGCGGTGTCGAAGAAATTTTTTGGTGGGCTTGAATTATTTGTAAGAAGGGGTTGCACTGGTCTTTCACTTTGTATTGGATCCATTGTTTCAAATCGCTCAAAGAAGAGGAATCGGAGGAACTAAAGGTACGTGTTTGAAATGCGTTGATGGGGTTTTTGACCCACCTTTGGAGTCATGTGTTTGTCAGTTTTAAAAATTGTTTGGAATATTTATTAGCATATTATTTTGTCGACGAATAATTTATTTATAGTGGTCACTGATTTTTAGATTTTCTGTTAGAAGGTTTCTATCTTTTTCAAGTAGGTAGATTCGTGTCTTATTTGCAAAGAAAATTTTGGTTACAAGTAGTTAAAATTCTGTATTTTAATTTTTAATTTATAAAACAATTGTGATTCGACAATGGATCGTTAAAAGAAATATTCTACAGAAATTTTGTGTTAATTTCTGAAATAATTCAGTAGATATAGAATATCGCGTTTTATGTGAGATTTTGAATAGAAGCAAGAAGAAATTTGAGGTTTACTTGTCTCGAAAGTAAAGGCAGAAAATATTTCTACGATTTACACGCGGTTTCAAAGTTAGAACTTCTGAAATGAAATCGTGTTACGTAGTTGCAAAGAAAGTATTATTTCCTTTACTATATTCCAACAGGTTTCAAGCCAGAAGAATGTGGCCTAGATTTTTCGTAATCCCTCCATGTATTTTACGATATTCCTGGAACATTTTACTAAACCTTTAAACAAAATTTTCTACATGCAGGTATCACGAAACTTTCTTAGTTCGTATAAGTAACTACATCCATTTTGTAATTTAAGGATTGAGAACTAGACGTATAAGAGACGATGTATACCAAAGATAACAAGTCTCAAAAAATAATTTGCATTTAGTAAAATGTTATTTATAAACAAGATATATCAGAGTACTTTGTACAATTTGCAATTATATTTATTCCAATATTCATAGTTTTATTGATTAAGAAGAAAGAATTTTCAGTGATCTCAAAAGAAAAGAAGATTTGTAAAATGCCATTATATAAGCATTGAAAAATATATTACTACAAAATACTTAACAAGCAAATTCTAGTACATCAACACTCTATCTCCATTATAATATGCTAATTAATATTCCAATCATCAACAAATTACAAATATCTCTCAGGAACCTCCATTGACTACAAAAATCTTTAGATAGAGAATAAATTATTGAAACTGAATAATATTTCAGTCAATAAATAGTTATGGAAATTCCACAAAACCTATAACTGGTCACAGAAATTTTTAAATATGGAAGATTATTACACCCCAAAATAATATCATTTTAACTTAGGACCAATTCGAGATAAAGATATATCCATACTAAACGTGATAAAGATATTAAATTATAATTTTGATGCTATATATGTATGGCAATAATTTATTTTAGAGCATAAAAATAGTCTGGTTTCACGATCGGTGTTCGTTTATAGACGCGAGCAAAAACCACGCGGCAGAATCGTATCGAGATCAGACAGCAATGGCGGACCGGTGTGCATTTAAAGAGACGAGCTACCGCTATTCTCGTTCTTTTCCCTTTTGTTCGCGGCTTGAACCACGCGCTTGCCCTTACGTCACGATCCCCCACGTTATTTATGCCGAGCTTTTACGAGGGCCGCTCGTAATTTTCACCTGGCGAATTTTTCTTTACGATACCCGGTGTCGATTCGACCAACAGGTCGGCCGCAGCAGTTGTGTATACAGTAACGCTCAAAAGTTGCGGATTATTTCCATAACATAGATGTTTTGCGATTTAACACCGGCTATCTGTTGTTAGTAATTTTTATCATCGATATTATTCAGCTAAGTTTATTATTAATCTCAACTATTAATTTAAATTTCCATTTTTTAATAAAATTTTGAAATAGAAGTTTGGTTATGTTTCGATTTGATATTTAACTTTGGATATTTTATTTTATTTTCTAGCTATAAAAATATTTTTATTATTTTGCAATTTATAGGTTTAAGTGTTTTAATTATGTTTAATATGGTGATTTGTAGCTACTAATTTTTGTTGTTTAATTCTGGATATTTTATTTCTTTGTTTTAACAACTTACAGGTTAAGTATCATAGCTGTTTATATAGTAACGTACAATGTTAGGGATTTTATTTCCTTAGTGACTTTTTTAGTAATTGATATTACAGGATTCTAGTCTGAAACCATTTTTATTCAAGAGATTTATGAATAATTTCAGGTGACTTATAAAGTATAATAAACGAGAATAAATAATGCATCTTTTCTTTGATTTTATCTTAATCATATCGTTACTAAAGATTCCCCCCTATATTAAAATAAACGAGGAACTCAGAGGAAAGTAGATCAAATGATAAAATTTTCAATTTGAAGGGAACCATGAACAAAGTGAAACTTTGACCAACATAAAAAAGTTAACATATTCCCAAACATTAAAACATCTTATTACCCGCACTCGTAAAACCTTAGAATTTCAAAATGAAATTCCCTAGACTCCTCTTTCAAACTTATCTCATTCTCAAAGCAAGAAAAACAAAAGAAAACAAAGGAAAACATCACTTTTATACCAGGAAACATCACTTCTTTCCAAAAATGACTCATAACCTAAATCAAAAAAGAAACTATTACTAAATTTGTTACATTTATACCACTTGTACACTTCAAGAGGAAAATTACTGAATTTGCTAAACTCGTACCACTTGTACACTTACAAAAAAGAAATTACTAAATTTACTACACTTGTACAATTAAAAAAGAAAAATTACTAAATTTACTACACTTGTACAATAAAAAAAAAAAAAGAGAAAAAATTCCTCGAAAATTCCACACCTGAGAATCTTCGGAATCACACTTGTACCACGTCTGCAACATCAAAGAGGCAACAGTCCTCGTACCCTATTATTACTAAGCACAATAACAGTCACACAGAAACGGCCAGGCGAAAATATACGTCCCTTTCCTTCCGATTGTAAGCAAATGGGAAATTCTCAGCCATCGGGACTGAAGATCGTCAGAGACTTTTGCGCAACGTTGTATGCACGCGTGCCCACGTGCGTTCGCGAGGAACGTGCATCACGAGGAGCAACAGATAGGCCGACGACGGTGGAAAAAATGATCGTTAAAAGGCACGCAGCGCTGGGATTATTTCTGGTGGAAAGTTTTACGAGCGAAACGCGCACCGTCGCGCAATAAAGACGTCGACCCGACCTCTGCAAGCTCGTAATTTCGAACGCCGCTTAGGACGGCCAGTTGGGACGATTACTTTGGTACCTGGACTAATTGAGATCGCGCTCCGGACGAAGGATTCGCGGAAGTCGGGGGAGTCGAACGATCTCGGCCCCTTTTTTCAAGGTGTCCACTTCCATGGGCCTGACCGTGCCTCGGGTAATTGCAACAGTTTAATTATCGGTTACCTGGCAAGTAGCCTTTGGTTAATTACATCTGTAACTCTTCGATGTTCAACAGCGCAATCCGTTAGGTCTGTTAACGAGAAATGTACGTATAATACATCGTTCTTTATTCCTCCAATTATTTCTTCTTAATATGTTGCCCAAAGTTGCTCATTTTTCATGAGCATGGTCTTTTGTATCTTTTCAGAATCATGATGCTTCTGCACGAACACCTGGAGACCACCTGAACCATCGATATAATTTAGCGCAACTGTTACAAGAATTAAATCGAAATTTCTTGTAAGCAAAAATTTCCATTTGCTTTTGAGAAGATGAGATAATGTCTAACTACACCTGAAATAGTTTCGCTTTGATTTCAGAAGGAAAGCTTCTGATCTAAGGATGCTTTAGAAATAGTCAGATAAAATGGAACCTGTTTCACAACAATTCTTCAAAAATAAAATTAACGTGCTCCGAAGAACTTACTCACCCAAAATTATGGATGTCTCACGAAAATATCCTTCTACAAACGTCAACTTTAAAAAGAGAAGAGTCACAAGGATCAAAAGAGATTGGCCGAAATAAAGTTAAGAACTTACTCACCCAAAATTATGGATGTCTCACGAAAATATCCTTCTACAAACGTCAACTTTGAAAAGAGAAGAGTCACAAGGATCAAAAGAGATTGGAAATAAAGAAATAAAGAAGAAAAAGCGAGTACAAAAATATGGGAATAAAGGAAAAACCTGTCTTCATAATCTCCGAACATACACACTACCCCACGCACACGTGCGGACGCGGAATCGTGAGATAAGGCTGGAATTAAACCCTCACGTGGCGGGAAATTTATGCGCGGCACGGCTAATGCGACGAGCGTAAAGCGAGCGTAACGAGTTCATCAATTCCATCGGCGTTACTCACGGCTCGGCCGCGCAACAAGTCGCCGACGAGGATTTTTCACCGCGGGCCACGTGGGCGGCTCGTGTCGCTTTTGACATTGCCACTAAACGCGTTGTCCCCGGCCGTCGAATGGCCGTCGCATGGTCGTTGAGGATGGAACGCGCAGCTGCGCGTGCAAAGCTGAGGAACGGCCGTTTCGACGCGAGTGGAAGCCACGAGTAGACTTGGAGGATCGCGGCTGGTGCCCGTCGTCGTTACACCACCAGCCATCCTGCCGCTCCAGCTGTGACCCGCGGGTCGCTTAATAAAGTTGGTCCGTTTGATGCCGGATGGCTGTTTCTAGGAAGGTATGGGCAGCTATATGTCGGGTATTTTTGGAATAGATGGAGGTATTAGGGAATGACTGGTTGTTTGGTGAAGTCTCTTGGTTAGAATCTGATAGAATATGTGGAATGAGTAAGTTTAGGGCATAGATGGTTTAATGAGAATTTTTGGATCGTTCCTTTAACTAGAGTCTGATGAAACAGGTGGAATGAATAGTTTGAGAAAATAGTTGATTTTTGTGTATGGTCTTTGATTATTGCTAGATGGATGATCATGATAATCTGTAACGACAGAAAAAGAATTTAGGGTTGGAGGATTTGGAGTCTTTTTAGATGAACATTGAATGTTAAGTATAGATTACTTGATGTATTGTTGAATTGGATGAAGGATTTGTTGAAATTATGTAAGAATTAGGGAATTCCTAAATTTCTGAAAATAAGACTAATATAACTAAGTCAGGGTGATTTCTAATGGAAAGAAAGTAGTACGTCCACTCCCCTTCCACTAGCAGAGGGAGAGAATAGATTTGGGAGTACCGAAATATTCTATGTGAAGGATAAAATTGTCTCAGTGATTTTTATAATTGAAAAAAAGTGACTGTTTAAATTTGGAAACGCTGAGCCATAGATAGCACACGAGTGTATACGTATATTCAAATTGCCAATATCCACTTCAAACTAAGGATCACTGCTTAACGATCAGTCGAAGGCTGCACGCTGCAAAGGTAATCGATGCAAATGTTGGTAAAAAGATTTTCAACCTCCCATTGGCTATTGCAAAATACTTGTAGGTGTTCAATACCAAGAGACTTTGAGCGTGAGCTTCACAAAGAGATAGAACTCGCGGATGCTAATATCGTCATTGCATATTACCTCTTAAAAATCAATTTTCCCGTGTTTTAATATTTCACGAGATATACTCGCAATGAAATTACGCTATACAAAGGAATCAATCATCGTCTATCTCTTAATTTACAATTCCAAGCTTGGTCTGCATCCTGCACGTTTCTTCCACGATTCCACGAAAGCGATATTTCACGAAAAGATAACAAAGAAATGGATGATAATAATAACGATGACAAAAGAAAGGAGGATATACAAAGACATTGAGAACGGGGCAACTGTCAGCACTGTCTCGTCGCTTTTAACAACTACCAGTCACAAAGAGGAGACACTAAAGTCAAGCCAAAACGTTCCAACCTTGCACACGTGTCATTGTCCATCCTCGACGGGGACCGTGCCTACGTACGTCGTCATTCTCTGTCACGAACGATCGCCGAAAACGCGATTCCCTCCATAACCTGAACGACTCCCGGGATCATCCTCTCTTACCATCTGCCTCGGCCATTGTCCAACAACAACCTTCCTCCACCTACCGTCAAGCCAAGACGATCCAGCACGGATTAACGACGCCGCTCCCTCTGAGTCGAAGGAAACTCGAGTCGACTCGGGTTCAAAAGGTGGCGTCGGAATGGCATCCGGTCCAGAAAACGAGCATCCCCGGGCTGGAATGCGCGCGAGATCGACGCCTCGTACCATAGCCAATAAACATTGATTTATCGGCCTGGAAATCGAACTCGGGGTGATTTGTGATCCTGCGATGCTTCGAGGTGGCTCGCGGTGCCCCATAGGGCCCTCGTGGGGCCCAGCACGGGCCCACGTAGGGCCCCGTAGGGCCCAGGCAGCCGCGGCCGCGTGGTGGGGGTAGCGGCGTACGCCGTGCTATATAAGAGGACCGTCGCGAGAGCTCACACTCTTGTAACCGTTAGCCGTGGCACGCTGGGATTATCCGGCGGGAGGAAGGCAAAAGTCGCGCGGGAAACACGGGAACATTCAAGATCCACGGTGCCTGGACGCCCTGGCCTGCATACCACGAACATGATACTCGTGAGTGGATTATGGAAATATGTTTTGTGCGGTTCGTCTATGGGTTATCTCTCGTGTTATTCTCAGGGTTCCATTGGGTTTTCATCGATTCGACCAGATGTATAATTTTGGTAGCATGTGGTGGGGGAAATATGTAGGGGATGGGCAGATAGCTTTCGAGGTATCGGAGGGATGTGACAGATGTATAAATATATTTATATATTTAATAAGTACATTTAATAAATAAATATATTTATTAGTGGAATAATGAATATTAAAATATTAAAATAGATAGGGGGTCAATATTAAAATAGGTAGATAATTGGAAATTATCACTATCTGAAAATATTTTCGAATAATTTAAACTCAATATCCTAACAATTAGGGTCATTTAATCTTCACTAGAACTAAAATCTTTTACGTGACTTATGCAATTTGTCATTTTGGTATATAGATTTCTCTTTCAGTAACATTCTCAATTGCGAGGATAAAGTACCTCGTACAAGTCATTTTTACTTGTACTTCACGTACCATAATTTGACAAAATTCATCATTATTGACAAAATAAGTTACATGCGAATCTTAGAAAAACAAACTACAAAAATGAATAGATACAATTAAAATTGTTATATATTTGATATACGTCATTATTATATATATATTATATACGTCATTGTTATATATTTTATATGTCATTATTATGACGTTAAATGCAGAAGTTTTAAAAATATTCCTTAAGGCTGCAGCTACTAAAAAATTTATAAGTGTGTATTATTTTATAGGAATTCTTTATAAAATGTTTAAAACTATTCCTGTAAGTCGTGGTAGCTTTAGCGTTAATTCTCTTCCCACGCTTCTCGCATTTCCACCTCTGAGAAATTATCCGGCTGACTAGCACAGGGTCTGCGACATTTGTTAAATTTATAAGCGGATTTTGAGTTAGGCTCGTGGCTTTTGCGTTTGGAGAAGTATAAAGTTACGCAACGCGACGCGTAAACGTGATTACAGGGATCCGACAATCCTATGGAACAGAACGTAACATTCGTCGATGCTGAGCCAATTTTACGCGACCTGGAGCTCCAATCCAAGGGGTGAATTACGCGATTCGAAAGTAGTTTAGAACACGGCGCGCGCGGCGAAGCTCTGCACACGCTTCGCGATACGCAGCGCGACGAAGCGTAACTAAAGCAAGTTTAATCCAGGCTCGTCACGGTTGTCATTTAATTTCCAAGTTTTACGAAGCTCCTGGCAGACTACAGTCACGATTAGTCCGCGTGAATCGGCCTTCGAACTTGAGGCAACTCCGAAAGCAGCCCTGCTCTTGCTTGCCTCGAGCTTCCTCGAAAAACTGATATTTATAAGTCTCTAAAAGTCCGTCAATTTTCTATTTCACTTGTCTTTCGTGTATCTCGTTGACAGGCTTTTAAACAATTTCCTGAACATTGGGAGAGAATTAAAAAATAATTGAAAATTTCATATTCTATTATTTTGGATATCACAATTTTTAACTTTGTTGAGTGATAAGTGATATTTCAGATTGCTAGTATAGTTGATCACGATGATCTCTTACTTCAAAATTTTTCCCACATTTTAGTGTGATATTATTCATGTTATAATTAACTCCTTGTCATACAAATAAAATATAGAATACCATTTAATTTGGCTCTATTGTGGACACTCATGAGCAAGCTTAGAAACAGAACGTTTTATTTTCAAATTTACATTGCTGTATAACATTTAATGAAGTTGGTATATAATGATAATGTACAATAATTAAGTAATACTATAAAATAATAATTTAGTAGTTCTGTAAAGTGTGATACATTTCAAAACATTTTGGAATATGTAGTGGAATTAGACATGTTTGATGCACGCATGGCATCTCTTTGCAGGATGTTGCTTTTCATTTGTCGCAGGTAAACAGTTAAAGAATCTAATAATATAATGACGTCTCGGAGACGTCAAAATCAACAATGGCACATGAAATGAACGACGTCTCCCAGACGTCATTGTATGTCAAAGGGTTAATATTCTAAGCAGTGGATTTTATACATTGCAATTTTCCCCAAATTTATCTTCACTGCCATTAATATCCCATTAATTTTCAATATTCTAAATAATAAAATTTTATTATAATCATTTTTCAATATTCATCATGAGATAGATCCCGTATGTATCTCATACATGTATATTTATCTCATTTCCCTCAATTTTTCACTCACCCCATAAGTCCATAAAATCTTCATACAAAATTTCAAATAATTAATTTATTCCTTTGAAAAGAAGTAAGCAAGGGAATTTAAAAAATATTAATTTTGCTACAAATTCCTTTCCCACGAGCAGTCCTGATTAAAAATTAGAAAATTCGAGTTTTTCAAGAATTCTAGACCGGAAGTGGAGGGCTTTGAAGCCTGTGGTACTAGAAAAGAACAATTTCGAGTTCCATCCTTCACCCTTACACACTTCTCTCTCCCTCCTAACTATCTTTTACACCTTTCAAGATGAAAAATCATACGAAATCAGTAACCAAAAGAGAAACAGTCCCACGAATATATAATAAATTAAATAACAGTCGTATCTTCGCGATGAGGACAAATTTTTCTTCTGGATAAATTAATTTTCAATATTCTGTTTCATTTTACAACGAAATGGATAGACTAATCGCTCCCATAGATGCGTGGGGCTTCTGTAAGGGGCTTCACGGTTTCGACGGGGTTCGACAGTGATGTCGGTGATCTCGACATGATCGGCGAAAGCTCGCGACGGAGTCGGAAGTTCGTCGATGAAGCGGAAGTCCCACGCGAGACGCCCTATTAATGCTGGTAAACGCTTCCGTGGAATGCTGCTGCCTCATTCAACGCGTTGCTCGGCTAACTATCGGTAATCGAATCCCTTGTTAACCGATTATCCGTGGTTCCTTTTGATCAAGCGGAAACACACGCTCGGTGGTTTCCCCTGGCCAATTTTTCACCGAATCCTCCATTCGCCAGTGTCCCCTATCTCGATTAATTCGTGGTCTGGTTTTCCAGCTGATAAGAGAAAATTGTATTCTTTAAAATGGTTTTGAAAAGCACCATCCAGCTTCCAAATATACTACTTCGAATCGTTTGATCGGGTGGTTAGTTCGAGAGTTCGAGAGTCAATTATCGATAAAATTTAATTAGTTAATTGCTCTTTGATGACTAGTTTCCTTCAGTTAATTTCATTTTGGAAATTGGTTCTAGTTTCGATCTTTAATAATTAAAGTTTCTTTAGTAAAATTGCTCTTGTTGGGTAATTAATTAATTTCGTTGATTATTGTTGCTGGTTTGGAAATTTGCTCGAGTTTCAATCGTTTGATGATTCACCCTTTGCACTCGAAGAATTTTTGGCTAAAGATGAGTAGGAGTTCAAAGATTTTCTGATATATAGCTGATGAAATTAAATTAATAAGAAATTAATAATTAACATGTAGAGCTATTTGATTTCCATACTCTGCACACTGTTACATTATCTTAAATTTGGCATATTAATTAATATCGATCTTCGAAATTTTATCAAATGGCAACTGAAGGGTGCCTCTCGAGTACAAAGGGTTAAATTTTCCATCTTTCTTGATCCCATTTGTTGTCATTGGGTTTTGATAAATTCGTAACTGAAACTCGTGAATTTTATTAAAATTAAAGTCGATGAATTTAAATTTGAAGAGTTAATAATAGAGGAGGTGAATTTAGACATTTTTCGGAGATCGATGTAATTAATATTCGCGTTCGAGTATTGTTCAGGGTGTCGAATATCTATGCAGATAATCCGAAATTGTTCCGTGTAGGAAGATAAACTGATAACGATTACACATCTCGGCTATTATTCTACACGTAGAGCAAATAAACCGATGTGATTGCAGATCTCTATCTGTGTTCTACACAGACAGCAATGAATTTATAGTAATCACTGCTCGCCACCAGTGTTCTACATGCACCGGAAACACGTTAACGTCGATCAAGGAATTCTGTTAGTATTCTACATGGAATAGAGATGAAATATTGTGGAATATTCGCGAAGGGAAGACAACTATTACTTCATCTCCCATTAAAGGAAAATATTACAAATTATTCGAGGAAAAATTAAAAATTTTCGGCGATATGAGCGATTTTGTTGAAACCGACAATAAATACTCAGGCCATACAATCCGCTTCAGTTTATATTCTCGAGGCATCTTAAAGATTTTTCTTTCATTCTTATATTTATTACTGGAGAAATGATCTCACGAACGAAGCAAATATATAAGGATTGTTTATGAAATCAGCTAGCCTGTCAATTTGACTTTATCTTTTCGTAGAGATAGGTATACTAGATACAAATTAAAAATTTTTTAAAATAGAAAGCTTAGAAAAAAAATAATTGTCTGTATAAATTCTTGGGTGAAATTACTAATTTCCGATACAAAGTGGTTAAAATTAATGCCATAGTTTTTCGGGTATTTCTTTAAAAAATTTGAAACCCGTCAAATTGACGGGTCCCGTTAACCCAGTGTTAATTATAGTCCATTTCCGAGTTCAGCTATATTTAATAACTGTGGTAATCATATATTAAACAAATTAATAATTGACGTAATGATATAACCAATCTTACGTTATTTATTAATAATAATATTAACAAATTTCTGATATAACAATTCTTAAGTGAACAAAATATATATACATACCCAAAAATAAATAAATAGGATATAGATCATATTATATTAATAGATCCTATAAATAAATTTTGCAGCAGAGTAAAAATGAGGAAGAAATAAATAAAATTCGAGCAAAAGACTCGAAATTCGTAGATTTCCATTGGGACAAATGTTGCACTCAGGACACGTACGATTTTTCCAATTCTTCCTGTGCTTGCGAACGAACCAGGGATTTCCCTAAACGTCGAAACGTCGAGCAAGAGAGGGCGAAATTACACATGTTAAACATCAACGAAGGATCTAACACGTGTTCGCATTCGGGACAAGCCTTATCGTGCATGGAAATTCCCGATTCCGCCATGGATCTTCCCGTTCGATTCGAAAAGCAACTCCTGCGAGATTTTCATCTCGAGCTTCGTCCCCGTGGAGCGTTCCTCCGGCGGAGATTCGATATCTCTTCGAGCTGCCATATCGCGGAAGTTGACGAGAAAGTTGAATTAAATTTACGAGCGACCTGGCAGGGCCTGGAAGTGTTCGAGACACGGGAAATTTAATTTGAAAAAGGAAATTATATTTAAAGATACGGGGAATTTGATGCTGCAGACGTTAAACTCGTTGCGAGCAGTTATGCCATATCTGTGAAGGAAATGTACTTGTACTGGAGATATTGGAAATACTATTCAAGAGAAATTGGATTTAAAGAGAATTGAGGAGATATATTTTATCTTGTAGATATGTCAGATATATATGTCTTACAGATATAATTTATATTTAAAGAAGATATACATATACATTGTATATATAGACTAATTTATCAGACTCAATGACACTAGTCGATTTTCCAATAATTTATTTATTTATTCATTTGTAAAAAATTGGATTTAAAGAGAATTGAGGAGATATATTTTATTTTGTAGATATATGTCTTATAGATATAATTTATATTTAAAGAAGATATACATGTATAGTGTATATTTAGACTAATTTATCAGACTCAATGACAATTGTCGATTTTCCAATAATTTATTTATTTATTTATTTATTTATAAACAGAGTGAAAGCCCTGTCAACAATTTTTATACGCATTAGCAGCGTATCTAAATTGACTTCTTTGAGTATCATGGAGTAATCATGATCGTTAAAATTTATATAATTCTTTTATGCTATATTTATTAAATATAAAATATTCAATAGAAATTAGTGGGGAATAAAGTGACAAATAAGAAAGCAAGGAAATAAACTACTCACGTTTATTGTTAGACTTCATTTTAGCAATTCTTTCACCACTCTTATCGTGTTCTTCATACACAAACTATATTTCATGCTATATTTATTAAACATAAAATACCAAATTAGTGGTAAATAAAATGACGAATTAAAATAGAAGAAAATTAAACACTCACGTTTATTGTTAGACCTCTTTCTAACAATTCTTCCACCATTTTTATTATGGTCCTCATATACATGCATATGTATCACACAAACACAGTCCTATATACATTGTCACACTTCTATATCTGCACAAAGCACACAGAAAATTTTATCCAGCAAAAATTAAGTTTAAGAAAAATTTATTTATACATCCGTGTTCTAAAAAATATTTTTCTCTTCTTTTCAGATAATCTTGTTAAGTACTTTCTTCGGTCGAGGAACAGCAACGCCGATCGCGAACGTTTGGCTGAGTCCAGTTGGATCGTTGACGCCATTGAGACAGTATCACATACAGGATGGCTCCGGCGGGTACCATTACTCATTCACGGGACCCCATCACGCAAAATCGGAATCCAGTTTAAACGGAATCACGCAGGGTGGTAAGTCGTTGAAATTATCCTCGCTGAACGCCTGAATTCTTCATGATAAGCCGTTACCACCATCCTCCATGTACCCCGCTTATCTTCCTCTTTTGTGTCTCTTATGAACCAGGATTCCCAGCCATCGTGCCTCATTTCGTTTCAAATTCCAGCCACTGTTCGTGAAAAAATAACGCAAACGATACGAAGAGGAAAACGAAGGAAAATAATATAAATGATACGAGGAGTAATATTAACAAAGTGGTATAACAATGGTAGAGACGGATTGGTGGTTGATCTGGCAGGCTTCGAACCCTCGGTGACTTTCGTAAAGCTACGTGTACATGCAGTGGAAAACTTGCGATACTACGTTATTATTATTTGTTAATACAATATCAGGAGGTGGAAGTTGAAACAGGTTCTTAATAATATAACTGAGTATTCGTAACGATTGATATCGATTTTTATTGTGGTTCTATTGCACGTGGGTAGTGTTCACATATTCACTAAGGCCCACCAATATTCGCAATATAACATGTAGTTAGTTTCAAGGGTTGCCAACATATTATGGCTCTTTAAGGCGCGAAGTATGAACTTAATATATTTCAACATTATTAATATAATAATATAATTATTAATATTATATTATATAATAATTCTATGATTGATATCAATTTTTATTGTAGTTCTATTGCACGTGGGTAGTGTACACGATATTCACTAAGCCCACCAATATTCACATACATACAGTTAGTTTGAAGGGTTGCCAACACTTTGTGGTTCTTTAAGGCGCGAAGTTTGAATTGAATATATATCAAAATTATTAATATAATAATATAATTATTAATATTATATTACATAATAATATAGTTGTTATTATTATTATTAATATCATTATATTATTATTAATAGGGTTTTTCCGACTGATCTGGCAGACTTCGAACCCTCGGTGACTTTCATAAAGCTACGTGTACATGCAGTAGAAAACTTGCGATACTTCACAATTTATAAATATCTTCGCAATTCGATGTCCCATTTTTGTCTTGCATATCCATGAGATCATCCGATTTATTATCCGAGCAAGAACGAGATCAACAAGGTGTACCAGATTCCGTCGATCGCTGCATCGACAGGCGGGGATAAAGGATCATAGAGAAAATCGGCAAGTTCGTCCGCATATCTGTCGGATGACTCGTGGAACCTCGCGAATGGCACACATTCCTTTCACGATCGTTTCGAGATAGACAGCACGGCCCACGTCCGCGTGCGACCACTTTAGAAAACGATGATCGATGTGACGCAACGAACGCCCCTGCGATAGATCCATCTTCGCCCGAGTCTCTTAGGCAATCCACGGCTCCCTTTCCTTCATCCTGCTTCTCCAAACGTATATACACGTTCCATAAACCGAGTATACCACGTCTGATCGATGCTCGATTCGTCGTGCGACTAACGAAGAGTCGCATAACGCCAATCCATAGATTATGATATCATGGTACCAGGGTTTTATTCAATAGCCCGGAATTTTATTGGAGTCCTCTTCTCCTCTCATCTCTCTGCGATCTGGAATAAGGAAATACGCGTTACACTGTGATATTTCGGTTTTATTTAATCGGTAGAATTGTTTAGCCAATTTTTTTAATATTTATTAGGGAGATGCGTGTCTGTGATAGGATATTGTAAATTTATTTATTTAGAAATTTTATCTAAAAAGTAGAGAAATATATGTTTATGTTAGGCTATTGTAATTTTATTTGTTTTGAATTATTTTTAGCCAATAGGGAAGCAAAATGTATAGTTTAAATATTTTTTGACTCTGCGAATTTTAATGTCGTTATTTTAATACTTCGACTGCTATGGTGGTCATTAGTGACTAGAGTTCTTATATAATTGGAATAATAAGATACTCCCGTCTTGTTCTGAGCGAAACGTGTAATTTCGACATGGCAGTCAAAGCGTTAAAACACTATGAGAGTTTGTGGATGCATTGCTCGATTTTTCAGTTGATTTTACGGAGATTTTCGCGTTTTGTTTCAGGATATTCCTACATCGACGCCAATGGGATACTGCAAACAGTGACTTACACGGCAGACGATCAAAACGGGTTCAGAGTGAGTGCCAGTAACTTGCCACAGCCGCCCAAGAACGATCTTCAGACGATGCAGGAAACGCCGGAAGTGGCGGCGGCCAAGAAGAGCCATCTGGAGGAGCTGCAGAAGTCGCAGCTGAGGGACCAGTCGAATTATCAGTCGAATATCCTCTCTTACAAGATCCTGCCCTCTTACTTCAGCTTCGCGCAATTGAGGAAAGACGACGAGAAGAATTTGGCTGTTCGAGAAATCGCGGTAAGTGAATTTTAAATCCACTTCCGAATAAGCTACTAATAATCTCGAAAATTGGAAATTATACCGAGGGAACGGAACATAAAATATGTGAAAAATCCAATTTTAATTTCAACAATTTTTCCATTTTCCAAGGTTCGGAAAATTTTTAGGGAAGCTTAACAAAAATACTAATTAAATAATAATTTAATTACAACAACGAGGATAATAATAATAATAATAATAACAACAAATGGTATAAAAATAAATTGCCGTTTGGACAATTTTTCTTAGGAAAATAGCTTAATGCAAATAATTATTATTATCCCAATTAAAAGGATAATAATAATAAGAATAAATGATATAAAAATAAATTAAACGGACGTAAAAGAATTTCGGCAAAATTTTTAAGTTCCTTATTTCTCGGTTGAAAATTATTTTTCGGCAAAGTGAATATTATTCCGAATTAAGGAAGGAAAATTTACTCGTAATAATTTCCTTTAACCACTCAGCCGAGGCTACTAAAGTTGTTAAATATTTTTCGCAATATTATTTTCGCATTTCGCCAGGAGAAATTGAGGTATGGCATAAATTGCGGTATAGCTCGCTTCAAAGCCAGCCAGTCGAACGAAATTCGACTTTATTAACGCGAAACCACTTGCAGGAAACAGCAGTCGCGTTAATATGTATTTGCTGCGGAATCGGTCCGCGGAGCGGTTTCCGGCCGCGGCCGCAACTTCGTATTGCGCGTTAGACATTTTATCAACATCGCGGTGAACAGAAATACCGTCGCGTGTCTCGTTGTTTTTCGAAAACGAGCTCACCTCGATTAACTTAGGAAGCTGGAGAAATTCGAGGCAAAACTGAAATTCACCGCGGAATTATTTAACACGAGGTTTGCTTTTCCTGTCTCTATTATTTTTAGGAAATTTTAGTAATTTATTTTAGCTATTGAAATATATTTCCTTGGAATTTTTGAAGTATCAGAGAGTCAATTAATTTATTGAAAATGGAATGTGATATCAAGTTGATTATTTCTGCAATTGATATATAAGGAAGATTGAATTTAAACATTTGCAAAATAATATATTATCCATGGAAACGAAGATTGAACCTAATATAATATTATAAAATAAGATTTTTCTTATTTATATTTGGAAAATTATGTTTTCGCAGTCCCGTCTGAGTATCTGAAAATTTGTAGAAATTTTTCAAAATTGTGGAAGGATTGTGGAATTATTGGATCTAATTTTCTGTGGAATAATTTTTTCTCTTCAAAGAGAAGATAAAATAAGATTTTTCTTATTCACATTTGGAAGATTATGTTTTTGCAGTCTCTATTGAGTATCCAAAAATTTTTCAAAATTGTGGAAGGATTGTGGAATTATTGGATCTAATTTTCCGCGGAATAATTTATTTTCTCTTGAAATAGAGGATAAATTTGCTACAGTAGCAGGTTGTATCGTAGAAATGAACAACTTCCTCCGATTATCCCGGAAACCCCAAGAAAAGAATGGGCTTGCTACAATGCAGACTACCTTTTCCCACGGAAGATTCCATTTGAACAAGATATTAAAACACATCACCTGCAAATGCCATCTCCTCTCCTGAACCATTTTATCAACATAGTAAAGAACGAACCTAATTTTCTTCCTGACCAAGAGAGCAAATAAAATCTGCCAGATGAACCCCCTACAAAAATACAAATCTTCGCGACCTTCCTACTAACTCGGAAGTCCTGCAATCTCCATCTCGAGAAATAACAATTTCCTTTTTACAACTTAGAGACCCAGCTCTTCCATTGCGAGCCCACCAAGACTACGAGTACTATAATCATCCTGGAAACTACGAAACCACTGAAACCGTCGCTTTCTTTCAGCAAACCTCGAAGAATCCCTTCCTCCTCTCTAGTTCCGAGGCAGAGAGGATCGAGGTGCCCAAACCGGACCCCAGTCTCTCGAAGATACTACCCTCTGCGACTGTTTCTTCTCTGTCACCTCGACCTGGCCAACAGCAAGACCAGAAGAACGACGAACAGCCGAGTCAAGGGAATTCCTTGGAAATAGGCAAACTCGTGTCACTTGGCAGCGTCCAGAGGCCTGTCAGCGTGCCAGCACCCTACGTACTTCCGGTTCTGCCTTACAGGCTGCTACACAGCGCCCTTCATCACACTCAGGACTCTTTGGGCCAATACGATTACAGCTACACCGGCGACTCCAGCGCCAAAACCGAGTCCAGATCGTTGGACGGGACAACTAGAGGTGCCTATAGCTACATCGATCCCAACGGCGTCTTACAGCAAGTTCATTATGTGGCGGATCACAATGGATTCAGGGTCATGGCCACCAATCTCCCGGAGGCCTAGTAATAAACCGACGAAAATCCGTTCGATCGCGACAAGAAATGCTTTCCAATTATCGACCTTGTTTTGTTGCGGTTGGTTCCTCGATTGTTCGTTTCTTGGTGGATTGACGAGCTTGCATTTCTCTTGGAATTTAGGGTACAGGTATGGGATGCTGAGGGTTTTATTGAGACAGTTCTGTGGCTACAATTTTTTGACTCCTTTCATGTCTTATTTGTGCACAGTTGAGGAACTTAAAAATTATGGGATTAGGATGAGATAGCAGATATTTTGAGCATTTTTTAAATTTATATAATAAATTTGGATGATAATAGAATGCAGGATCTTATTCTGAAGAAGACTGCTAGTAAAGATGACACTGACAAGTGTAATACAAATTTGTTCCTGTTTATCTGAATGTAATTTCTATCTAGGAAACCTTCTATATGAAATATTCACTGCATAGATCTTGGGGTGGTATTTTTGTGACAGAGATACCAGATATTCTCAGCATTTTCTAAATATATAAATAATTTGTGACTAATAAATTTGGATGACGATAGAATGCAGAATCTTATTCTGAAAGATGACATTGAAAACTGTAAAACTAACTAGGAAACCTTTTTCAAGAAATATTCACTGTACAGATCCAAGAGAATCGAGCCAATCCTTCGAGTTACAAAAATAATACTAAAATTCAGAATTTTGTTATTTCTGATTGAATCATTCTTTCCAACGAATGTCCTAGCAATTTTCCACAATTTTCGTATCACACTATTGGACCCCGAAGGAACCTCGCGAGATCGTAGATCTTTCATGCGATTCGAGCACATCGCAAAGAAATCTTTGTCCGTAACCAGCGACAACTTGGAGCTCCGGCGAATTATCGTCCTCGGATTGAACCATCGAATATAAAAATAACGTGGCTACGGAAGAAAAGTTTCCTCGTTCGTTTTCCCGATGATTGGTAGCTTCTCTCTTCCTTTCTTCGTCGCGGAAACGATCAAAGAGGCAGGATAATCTTCGTTTCGCGCCGTTCGATCGGGGATTTCCCGCGGAACGCGTTTCTTACCGCTGGTCTAGCCGGTGAGGGGGTAATCAAACTTTTCTGAATGCCTTTCGAGTTCGTTCCAGGCGATCCAGGCCCGTCACACGAACGGGAACGGACTTAATTCGCATTCGTTTTCCACTTTTCTCCATGTTTTTCTCTCTACACTGTCCGTTAATCGTCGCGAGTAAGCTAATTTACACGGTGAATAAATTATTTTATCCACGAAACCAGTCTCTGATTTTCATTCTCTTGTCTGTGTTGGATTATTATACAAATTTTTATATATTAAAGGTGTATGTATATAAAATAAAACTTTTATACGTGGAAATTTCAATCAGCGAATTCCCATTGAAAAAGTTGCTCTGTTATCTCTGTTCCATAGGGATGAAGAAAATTTTTGAGAGGAATGTTAATTTATTCTTTTATCACGCGAATTACGCCATTGTATAGTTATCAACTTTCACCCCTTTTTAACCCCTTAATTCTCCTCCAAAATTTCCAGTCACTGAATTCCTATTTAAAAAATTATTCTTCTGGCCCTATTCCATAAGAATAACAGAAATTTTTATAAAAAGATAAATTTCTTGCACTTGAGGAAGAAACACCATTCTATGATAAACTTCAACCCTCATATGTATCTAATTTTTCCCACAAATGTGACTCTTCGAATTTCTATTTATAAAATTATTTCATTTACATTCCAAAATCTTACGGAAAGAAAATTTCTTTCATCACAAAGAAAGTGATATAACTCTATAATAATGAATTTCAACCCTTAAAGAACCTTCCAAAAAATATATTTAATTCTTCCAACAAATTCCACTATTCAAATTTCTATTTATAAAAATCATTCTTCCATTTATATTCCTAAACCCTACTAAAAAAGAATAATTTCTCTGGCCAGAAAGAAAGTCATATGACCCTATAATAACCGACTTCAACCCTGAAAAAACCTTTTCATAAAAATCTCCTTTCCCAGCGTAACTTGAAAGACCGTCAAATCCCAAAGGAATGCCCATCCTCGTAATCAAAAATAAATCCCATCGTACCGCAGTCAAAAACACGACCTCCACCCCAACCCCCGCGAAGACAGCACGAGATCGTGTGTCCCGGGTCGCATTCACAGGGGCAATTCCTGTCGGAACGTCGTTTTATAAAAGCAGGCCACCCCTTTGACTCGGTGAATTCATTAATTCACTCAACAGCCGGATACCAGCGGCTCTTACGGACTGTCATCGATGGGATTCCGTGTTTCGAGCCCTCGCCAACCAGCTAGCTTTGAGGTCGAATCTGAAAATTTAATGGAACGTAGAGAACTCGAGTGCTGTTTGCACGAATGCTCCGCCGACACAATGAATTAAATGAATAATTTGCTTTGATCCAGCATCGTGGAACGATAACGATTAATTACTCCATGGACCTGCCGCCTCTGTCGATCCCAATCGACGACTTCGGTCAACCCCTTTTAACCTGATGGCGCTTAAAAATAGCAGAATCGCAGGTTATTCCGGTCCATTCTCTATGAAATATTTCTCGATCGAGGTATCTCTCGGCTAACTCGTAACCATCAACATTTATCGCTTGTTCTTTTCACCGAACGTTGCTGCAGGAAGCTGGCTCGATGGCGTGGGGGCGTTTGATATAAATGATCTGAAAGAGGGAAACAAATGAGAGTTGATAGTAGCTCGGCACTCGATGCAATTCCACGGGTTGCATGGAGTTATACGTCGTTAAACGCGAGGGTGTTTTGTAGGAAAATCTGATACCTGAATTTTTGGCAGATCGTTACGATTGGCGAAGAGATATTGTAAATGGGTGCAAAGGATGCACGAGTTGGAAATTAAATGGACGACGTTAAACGACTAATACGATACACTTTCATACCCCATACACGTTGCATGGTTATTAGATTGTGCTTTTAATTAATTAACGAACTTAAAAATGCCCACGTGTGCAAGAAGCGAAGCGTGTGAAGGAACGAATGGTTTAAAAGGCTCGGATTATTCTTTTTGGAGATGAATTTATATGGAGGTTAGGGAGAGATGAATATACGACAGGTCATATCACCATTCTTCTGAAATCTGAAATAAAATAAAATAAAATAAATTAAAATAAGGTAAAATAAAATAAGAATAAGTAAAATAAAATAAAATAAGAATAAAATAAAATAAAATTGAATAAGTAAAATAAAATAAAATAAGAATAAAATAAAATAAAATAAAATAAAATTAGAATAAAATAAAATAAAATAAAACAGAAATTTCCATAGATAAAATAAAGATAAAGTAAATAGATAAAATAAATAATAATCAATAAAATATCATAAAATAAAATATAATAAAATAAAATTAGAATAAAATGAAATAAAATAAAACAGAAATTTCCATAGATAAAATAAAGATAAAGTAAATAGATAAAATAAATAATAATCAATAAAGTAAAATAAATTTAGAAATTTCCATTAAATAAATCAAGAAGATACAAAGAATATTTGCGAAATGTTTTATAGGTTTATTCGGGTATTCTGTGTTATTCAGGTATTTATAATGTTGAATGACAGGTATTTGCGTAATAAAGCAGTTTAGGGGAAAAGAGGAAGAAATAAGGAACTGAATTAAATTGTTCATGGACCTCGAAATATGAAAAGAACAGTAGACGTTCGCTGCTGGAGGCGCTCCGTCCTTCTTTTGACGCCCGTGACATTCCACCACTTCTGGCTGTCCAAACTTTCTCGTGAAGAGAAACCATGACCTACGCTTACGTTCGCCAGGAATTCGCCGATGACGCGAACAAAAGGTAAAAGACCAGCTGATTCAGCGTGTCGACGCTCCTGTGACCCATAAAACACGCGTTTCTTGTTTCCCTTCCTCCTTTCTTCAAGTTGATGGCCGTTGTCAAAAATCCTTTCACCTCTCCCACACGATTATGGTTCCGCATAATTAATCCTGAGATTAATCGCAGCAATTTTTCCATTTGTTCTTGTATCATACTTTTTAGTATTTCACGTAATACTTCTGCCGCCATTTTGTCTTCGTTACTTATTTACTTATTTTATTTTATTTTATTTTGTTAGTGGAAGTTGAATAAATTTTCGTGTGATATTTTTTAAAGATTTTTGTTAGCAATGAAGAACGATGGATTTTATTTTCGTCCTTTTTTAATTATTTATTATTTCGGAATATCGGAAAAGAGAACGACTGAGGTAAATTTTGTTGGAAATGATGTTCGCGAGTCTCTCCAGTCGTTAAGACCAGTAACGTGTGGGCGGACTTATGCAATTGTCGCTGGTTTTAGTGCAGATCAATAAATTACGATGTTCGATCTAATGCTGCGCGCTCGTATCTCTTTTCTCTCGCGGTTCAATTCAATTTGAATGTTCATTTCCGTGCATGTGGCAGTAAATGTTGGTTTAATTTTAAATTCCGCGGATGGAATCTAGTTTTAGACGTCGGGATAAATTCGTCAGGATAGATTGAGTTTATACGGGTACGAAAAGACAGACACGTAAAAATAAGCTAAAGCGATCGGTGATAGATGGTGGAATAGCTGTGTTTTAATATAGATAAAGGATATAAATTTATATCTTCATTCATAATGGATACCATATTTATACGTACCTGAGATTGATATATAAATGGTACTGCGTCCCGATTGCTGGAAATATAGTTGTATTTGGAATTTTTTAGTACTGAAATTCCCAAATTAGAAACTTTCCGAACTTTAGAATCTTTAAATTCTTAATTTTCTAAGTTTACAAATTTCTAATTGTCCGAGTTTGTAATTTTGCAATTTAAGTTTCCTAATTCGCAATTTTCTAATCACCCAAATTTTTAAACCACCAATTTTACAAATTTCCAATTTTTCAGGTTTGTAATTTTCCAAATTTTCAAATCCCCAATTTTTCAGCTCCAATTTTCAAACTTGCAATTTTCTAAATTTTCTAAATTTCCAAGCCCCAATTTTCCAATTTTCTAAACTTCCTAAATTTGTAAATCCCAATTTTCCAACTTTCCAATTTTCTAAATTTCCAAAGACCAATTTTCTAAATTTCCTAAATTTTTAAACTCCAATTTTTCAATTTTCCAATTTTCTAAATTTTCTAAATTTCCAAACGCCAATTTTCCTATTTTCCAATTTTCCAATTTTCCAATTTTCTAAATTCGAAATATTCCAGCTTTCAAACTTGGCAAACTTCAACTCTTCCACTTCTTGACTGCAGCAATTAAAAAACTGACAAATAATCACCAATAAAGTAATCGGAAATCTACCGGGTAGCAAATAATGAACACTGAATAAGGATCAACGATCATGGATTTATTCGCATATTTATTCTTCCATTCGTTTCGTTACGTATCGTAGACGGTATATCACATAATACAATGAACCACGCCGATTTCGGACGTCCCTCTGTCCTCCCCGGACGACCATTTGGAGAGAACGTTCAAGATAGAATCGAAAAGGGGTCCGTAGAGAGTGTTCCAACGCGAGATCTCTCCCGCTCGTTTAAAATTACATCGGCATAACAACACTTACGTTCATACGTTTTGTTTCCGCGGCGCTTGTCTCCGCGCATGCGCCTGTTCGCGTGTCTCGACATTGCACGCGCTACAGGATGTTCCAAAACTCGGGCCCTCGATCTCCCGCACTCACAGTTGTGCATCGAATTCATCGTAACGATCGACGACTTTTGAAGCAACCTGTACGACACACTGATATCGCGAGTTCAGCAAAGGCGATCGTTTAACGCTATTATCACATATAACCAACGAGGAACGGTAAAAAATCTACGGGAAACAATATGGCGGCAACGATGACGGTTAGCTGAGAGGCCAGAGGGAGCTTCGGTAGCCAAATGGCGTCTGTTGGCGTAAGAAGATAACCAAACTTGCTTCTAACATTCGTTATGTTACACATAGATATCGACACACGCATGTGCGAACGTATTTAATGGATTCTTCACAAATTTTACGAAATGAAATTCATCTTCCACTTCGACCCTGCATAACCCTAAACACAGACAGTAACTCCACTGCTACCTAACCTCGAATTCACTCATCGTCAGACCATGTCTCGCACTTCTATCTGTTCCCTGCTTTCACCCTTTCTCCCCAATTTTTCCTCAGTCTCGGTCAGTTACGACTAGCTTCAGCGAATTCGTTCGCTAAGAACGTCTCTTCCTTCACGCGACTCGCTGAAAATTAAACATCGAAGAAAGCTCGACTGTTGGTCACGTGTCTGACCCATCCGTGATGCCCGATTCCGTGGGAACGACCGGTTGTGCTCGATTCCGCGGCACGTGGTCGCCTCGAGGGCTGTCAGGAGGGTCCACGAGGACGGCCCGAATCCTTCAGAAGGACTGGATCCTCACTTTCGAGGTCCTCGGGTCGAAGGTGACGCGCTGAGCGCCACACCTGGCACGCTACAGTCATCTCGACTCGCTTTGAGAGTGCACCGTCGGCTCTGAGCTGGGGTCCGGGTCCGAGTCGTCGATGGACACACCCTGCTGGGGTACCTGCATCGAGTAGCTTGGGCTCCGGTCGTTTCTGCGAGCAGACGTTTCAAGTGATGTGACTTGTGAGTCTTTCGAGTGAGGATCACAGATTCTTCGTTTCGGGAATCGGATGCTTGGCCGTAGGGTGGTCTAGTTACAGAGGTGAGGTTGTTATGGGAGGTGGAATTGTGCCGGAGGTTCCGGGATAGTTAGCAGTAGTTTGCCAAAGTTGATGAACTTCCGCGGATTTTGACTTGGATTGTTGGATTTAGAGTTTAGATGGCTCTCGGAATTTGTTCATTCGGCTTGAGTGGCTGAGAGGATTCTGTTTTGCTCTTGGATCATTTGGGGATCCATAAGTCTCGTGTCGAATAGGTTTCATTAAGAAATTTCGGATCGGATGATCTTGGAAATAGTGCATTCTGATTCGGACTCTTGGAAAAATTCGTGTCTTTTGCGAGGATCACTTGGAGGATCGTGATTTTCACTTGGATCGTTGGACTCAATTCAGAGGTACTTGGAGAGTAGCAAATCGAGGTCTGGATTCTTGGGTCCTAACTTAATCAAAGGATCTATACTTTTCATTAGGATCACTCGATGAATCCCGATTCTATTTAAAACTGGTCAATTTTCGAAAAATCTGGGCTTGGAATACTTAAGGAATGCATATTGTACATATACTCGTCTACAAAATTGTTAATCTTTGAATGACCCTAACTTCGTTAAAAGTAATCCTAAAACAGTCTACCTAGGCTAATTACAAGCACTGAAATTCCAATTTTCATATTCCTTAATCGACCCTTTAAATGCCTTTTCATTTTAACACACGAGGTAAAAGTTAAAGGGTACCTTTTCCCCAAAAATTGTACAAATTCAATCAACTCTAGGGACCCTAGAAAATTTTTACCACGATTCGTTTTACAGTGAATTTATAGAGGAACGTCTCCTCTTTCTATCGACCTTATAAAAATATTTCCACAATTTTTCCTCGCAATTTTATCTATTTTTTAAGCTCTCGATAAAAATTTAGCGATCCTTTGATGTCGTGGACGAGTATATTCTAAATTAAGCTGCTCATGTCGATACTATCTTGACCAAACTTCCTTACCTCATGGCTAATTGACTGCCATCGCTGCCTCGTCTCAAAGTATTCGCCCGCCGCTTGCAGAAGCACTTGCAGATGATCGTCTTGAACGCGAATCGGAAGTCTTTGCTGAAGAGCGCGTAGATACACGGATTTATTGCGGAGTTGCAGTAGCCTAGCCAGAACAGCACGCTGAAGACCGTGGGGTGGATGCAGTTGGGGCAGAAGGCGCGGACCAGGTACATCGTGAAGAACGGAAGCCAGCAGAGGATGAACCCTCCGACTATGATACCCAGTGTCTTAGCTGCCTTTGTCTCCATGCGAAATCTCTTCACCTGAATAATTCATAATTCCCTACATCAAGGTCTATTGGACTAGATCCCTTCTGAATTTTATCTTTCAGGCTTGAATAATATTACACATTTTCCTTGGAAAACATTTTACGGTTTCACATTCTGAAATCTATCGAATTGCATTACTCTTGGAATTTATCTGAAATTTATTTCCCACTCTATCACCATGGATATATTTTCTTTAAAAAATTCCTCATAATTCTCTCCAATGAATTCTTCCTTCAAAGTGCTCCTTTTCTAGCTGAGTATTACTTTCTGTCATTTCTTTAGAGGAACATAATTTTCACTTTTACCTTATGCTGCTTTTCTTGTGCCAATTAGGTTCTAGACAAAGGAATATCGTTTTCCTTTGTCTTAGACTAGTCGTTAGAGAGTCGTGAGAGGACATCATTGCTCTGATCCTTTCTTAATTATCGTGTCACATTTTTGCCGTACCTAATTTTATTTTTTCCTTCTTCTAGTAGTATCCAAGAGCCAGGCAATTCTTCTTCAGAAGACTTGAAAGAAAGATCTTCGATGTTAAATTAATATCTAGAGCTTCATCATGAAATACCTGAGCTTTAATGTTTCTCTTCCCCATTTTCATCACTCTGGGCTTCTCTTCGGCGCCCTGGCCAAGTTCTCGCAACGACATCTCGTCTCCCATCATCTGACTCTCGCAGCTGTTACGTCTGCTAGGCCTCCTGGTGCTGCCGACCCTGTTGATACCGCTCACCTGTCACAAACACATCCAAAGAGACGTTTAACGACACTAGTTTTCCAGGCTTTCCTCGGGGGACACGCAAACGTGTCGCCAGGATTTTACGACCCCACGATCGTAAACCAGTTTTCATCGTTTCGATCGTAAAATCAAATTCTCTTCGGTACGCGGGATTTTGGCAGGGATGCTCGATTATAGAGAGAAAGGCGAGGGCGCAGAAATTTGAGAATCTTCCACTTGGAAAACGAAGTGTACAATGTACGAGGATTTTTTGAGATTAATTACGAATTTTAAGGCAACGACACGTGATTTTTATTTCTCGTCGTTGGGGGGGGAGAAAGGCTGGATCAATTATTTGGCCACTCTTGGATTTCGAGGCGTCCCGAGCCGCTGATGCATATTTATGGCGACCCGTAAACGATCCTGACTCTTCTCTTTAGCGAGTGATTTACATTCCAGAAAATTTAATTGCGCGAGAAAGACGCTGGGTTAACTAGCACACGACATCGATTCCTAAAGGATATTTCGAGGATATATTGCATTACATAGATTAACTATTACTCGACATTGTAGAGGAATATTTAAATACCTTTGATATTTATTGTAGCAAATTCTTAATTACTTGGTACAGGAAATTATCAGACACACTAGCACCACGATGAATTTATTTTTATTTATAATGTACTAATATATATTTTCTATTGCTGTCATTAGAGATGAATTTCTTAAACTATTTAAGGATTTGAAATTGTATTTTTATAGTTTTCCATCTTTTCTTGAATTTCATTTTAAAGTAGATGAATAAACAAGGAAACTTCTCAGTGTGTTACTAAAATATAAACAGTACCTTCTGAAGAACTGTAATACATCTTAAATTATTATTTAATCGCTAAACAAAATTTTAGACAAAAGTGTAATTCAGATCTAACTAATCTAATACCTTCTTTCACCTAATTCTGAACTCCCTTATAGATAAATTCCAGGAAATTCTGCAGTTGACACAACTAAGTATCTACTCCAAGACCTAACTTACAAGAAAGTCAACTAAAACACAAGTAATAACCCCTCTCTGGTTCCTAATGAGGAAACAAGGACTATCTATATTTATCTTGGAATCGTTGAACCTCTAAAGCCCAATCTCAGACCATCCCTTCAGGCCAAGCCTCTCCGCAAGGCCTTAACCATCCTTTCATTCGAAAATATCTGTCCAGTCATGTCGCAGTGGTAAAATGGGGCATAGAGAAATATTTATTCTCGTCTCCAAAGGATTTGCAGCCTTCGAACGTTATTTTTAACCAGAAAAGAGCGATACCAAAGGCGTTTTGAAGGAGGATAACTCAGCCGAGTCGCGGAGTTACCTTCAGATGCGTGCTCCTGGGAGTGGGGCACAGTTGGCTGTGCGTCTGCCCATTGCTATAGTGCACGGAGGTCTGAGAACACCTCGAGGGTGTCCTCTCGAGGGTGTTACACTTGGTATTCAGCGTCTCCGTGCTCGGATACGACACCGAGATTTTTATCTTCTCCCTTTTCACCGAGCTGCGGCTGTTCGACTCCGGACTCCTCGGGCTCCCGTTGTTGCTTCCGTTATGCACGCTTCCTCGACCACGGTGGATCCTCAAGGTCAACCTCTGTTCGTCGAATCTGCATCAAATTCGTGCAAGATAAACCAAGTGTCCCATTTATCAAAAATATTTTCGTGATTAATCCACGTCGAAGGGATTATCAAAATTCTCGAGTTTGAGCGGCTGTATTTTTTAAACAGACAGGATGTGAACGAAATGATGACTTAAACTACCCTTAATTATGCGTGAATTATATTATGTGATAGGTAAAAATTGATTAACCCATCCGGTGTTTGATAAAATTGGGATACGTTATGACAAAAATATTCTAATTCTTTTACTCCTTAATATAGTCGGATGTGCTTCAAAATGGATAAAGAAGCATGATTTACAAGTATCTTGGATAATTCGATTATAAGAATAACAGTGACAGATAAATTTCGGGGCACTGTATTTTTATCCAATGTTCTTTTTAAAAATTCGAATACAAGGCGAGGCGAAGACAAGACTATCGATTACAGCACGATTAATTTCGAACGCGACAACTTTCCGAACGGAAAATAAACTTCAGGACTTGGAACACGGCGAGGAAAGGCAATAATTGAATTATTTCATAAAAGCGAGTAAGAGTCGAAGAAAGCGAGCGAAATTTGCACGAGCCGATCGGAACTCGGTCCAGAGGGCGCGACGCGAAGAGTAATGGCGCGTGGCATCCTTGGTTCCACACTCGTCCGCGGCGCGGCGCTGCGTATTACCTGGAGCCGAGCATTTTCGAGCCCTTTGTCGTGCGGAAGCCTTGATTAATGGCCTTCGTGGTGGAGACGGCCGCGTTGTAGATCCTCCAGTAGAAAAACAGCATGACCAGCATCGGTATATAGAAGGAGCCGAGAGCGCTGCAAATAACAAGTTTTTAATTTCCCCGTACGTAGCGAGGTCGGGATGGCTGGAAGGGAGAAAGGGGATAATTTCGTTCCAGAGAAGCGTCCTTCGCTTCTCCCTCGGGCGTTCTTAGAGGAGGATCGCGTTTAATGGAGCCACCTGTTAAGTCCCTCTTTCGCTTCGTTCCGTTTCGTTTCGCTTCTTCGACTGGACGGGATTAATTATAACGATCATGCGGTTTTTCCTCCGCCTCTTTCTTCTCTCATTCCTCGATCGATGGTCTTTCTCGGTGGTGCCGAGAAGATGAAACGTCGATTGAAACGGTGGCTGAAGGAATAATCGAGGGGATCCTTCGAGGAAAGCTTCATCTGCCAAAATCGAGATCTTGAGAGTCAAACTCTTTCCTTCTTCCCTTTAACAGATTATGTAATAAAAATGGGGCAATTGGAAGGAGAAATAATCTTCCAAGAAAGGTTCTCAATAATTACATTACGTCCATTAATTTGCAATGGAGAACTTTTACAGCAGATTCTTTAAAACAACGCTGATATTATATAATTACAGGCTAATCAGAATTCTTTCTGTGGTTGCAAGGAACGTTGCACGTCACAATCTAAAAGTATCCTAATTTGATTAGTTATTAGAATTGTTAGAATTAAATGACACTGTATTTTTACCTATATTACTCTAATACTTTGTTACTAACAATTTGGTTCTTATTGTACAAACGTTCTATAAACCTCGTTCTATTCGCAACTAACGCAACTAACCCAACTAACGAGGACTGAGGACTGAGTACTGATTTATTGCTGAAAATCTTCATACACACACACATCGCTCTGCCCACTCCAACTACGGAAGCTCGTATCTACCAATTATATACATATAATTGCCTACAAGAACAAATAATAAGAGAATATTATACAATTTAACCCTTTGTGCTCCTATGTCGAATGTAACTCGACACAGCGTTCAAGATAAGAGAAAACTCTTTTTCTGAGGCTTGGAAGCGTCTATTGTTAATGCTATTATTTGGTACAAAGCATCTACTGTTAATTCGAGCAATCAGAAAATTTACCACCTAAAATTTAGAGAAGAATTTTTGCTTAGACTTGTTGGAGACTTGCGTTTAACAACAAGAACAGGACGATCATCTAGCGATAAGAAACAGCGATTAATGAAACATTATGCGAGTAAATGGATAAACTGATAAGAAGATTTATTTAACACGATAACAGCACGATATAAATTATAATTAAATCTCGTAAAATAAATTCGCTTCTCATTCGCACACAACGCCTATATGTAATGACTATCATTCACCTACTGATTGTTTCTTCGCGACTCTCTGTCATACTCGCCACACACACACATTCTACCACACAAACATTCCTCACACTCATACCACACATTCTATGACAACCACTACCACACATTACATATAATTACACTGCATCTGCATCGTAAACACAAAGATTGCAGAGTATGTTCGAATCGAGTTATCCCTGGTGGCAGAAGAGAGACTATACATATATGGTAAATGGTAAATTACAAGTCGTGAACAATAATATATAACGTTTACAAAATCTTAAACTTTTATCTTATACATTCACCTATTCATATGTATGTTGCGTTAGCAAGCTCAAAAACGTTTTCCAAAGTAAACGAAACCTGTCCAGACCGCAAAGGGTTAATTCTGAATGGAAATTTTTCCTTACAACCACAGATACAGGAATCTTATAATAAAAGGAATGAGAAAAATATTAGAAAAATCGTCCAGATTGTTGACAGAGTTAGTAGCTCAAATAGAAAATGAGGAAACGGACAGAACGTTGAGTAATATCTGACGAGGGTGTTGAGAGATGAATAAATAATCAGGTTGTGGTATGAATAAAGAAGATTCTGTGGAAGGTTCTGTTGTTTCGTTAGTGCCGTATCACGCGGCATTTCGCCCGGTGCACGATTTAATTAGGAAATTTTAAAGTTGCGCGTTCTATCAAACGCTTCTCGCGTTCCATTTCACGGGGAATATTCGCGTGGATGAGGAAGGAATCGTAGAGGCGACGTAGGAAACGTCAGATCGGAAAGGACACGGCGACGGGTTTCATTGAATCGCAGTTTCGCTTTGACGTGTCTTTTTCTCTACGCAGCAAGATACGAAACGCCCGCTCTGCCAGATAGCCTTGTAAACTTCGTGTCTATGGATAAAGCTACTGTTTGTCTACAGTATTGCTCTTTGTATCAGATAAGGGATCAAGTTGCGTCCCTTTGTTGACACAGGCACAATAGACGCTGATGAATAGAGAGCGTTTTATCTTCTATCTTTCGATCGCTCCCGCGACGATGGAAAAACGAAATGAACTCTGCTATGAAATTCCGTGTAACAGGGCGTGTCGTGTACAGTGGTCTACTCCCCCAGCTGTTAATTTTTATGCATTTCGAGATTAATATCGCGTTTCGTGAAATTCCACGGTTCCTCGTATTTTTGAGAAATCGAGAGCTTAATTTTAACATATTCTACGTGGTAATTATAAGTTATCACACTTTGGTAGTTAGTAGCTTATGTAGAAAATACATTTCTGCAGATTTTACAGTGGCACTGTGTTTTTGAAAATTTGCAAATAACTTGTTTCCTATTTCTGAGAAACCAAGTTGTAATTAGGGTAGATTTATTATTTTCTGCTGCACCAATTACAGTAATTGCTTCAAAATTTAGAGTATTTAGTATATTTTGTGTAGAAAATAATTCCTTTTACATTTTACAATGATTCGTGGATCACAGTTTAACACTTTGACTGCCATGCAATTTTTATATGGTACACTCAGGGTCTACGATATAATGATGAATTATTGAAGAATATGGCAAAGAAAGAAATAGAGCAAATTAGTAGTGTCTTCTGCTCAAAATTCCCTATTCATTTACGTTGTTCAAATTTTTAAAAATTGGTTAGAATAAAACGAATATGAATTTGAAAAATTAGTATTGCTGATCACTAATGACCACCATGACAGTCAACGTGTTGATATATCTATTGTATTTCTTATATACAAAATAACTACAAAATAATTCTTCATATTTTATTACACCTTAATAATAAAATATAGAATTTTAAGATTGCATATTTCAAGATTGCAAAAATGTACTATATTCCAGAAAAGGAATGAAATTATAGCACAGAGACTGTGCTTTAAATCAGATTTCATATCAATTATCAAGAAATTTTTTGAAATTTCGAATGCTAGTTGCTTTCATCTTCCCTCAACACGGCATCCATAAATCTCTGGAGGAACACCTTCATAAATATGACTCAGCTACTCGATGATACCTGGCAAATTAAACTCGATGGAATAACGAACGACACAGCCCAACAATTTATTTCACCGAAATAAGCGAGGCATCCATATTCAATTCTCTCTCCGCATCTCGCCATCGATCGACGTCGACTTTTAATATATCACCCAGCTGTACTTCCTTTTCGTCTGCATTTCAAAGGAAACGATTGCATCGCCGAGGAAAAACTGGAATATCGCGGGTGAAAATGATAACGTTTCCAACCAAGCAACGTAAATTCGTCCGGCACACGATGGAACATTAACCGTATACTCAGTGGCTAATTTAGATGCAACGTCGAGCATAAACCCGCGTGGATTGATGCACACTCCGATCGCGATAACACGGTAAGAATAGACACGGCCGTTTGCCAGAAAATTCGCATCTCCCTTCACGACTTAATAATTCCCATTCCGCGCCACTAGAGGCTCCATTACGCTTACAATCTCGGAATACAGCATTCTCAACACGTGATGCTTTCGACACGGAGAAAACGACATTCGAAGAGTGATTTCTGTTCGAATTGGGGGGGGGGGGGGGG